GGGCCTTCCTCCAGTGTGAGGGACTCTTGCCGGTGTCTGGCTGGGTGTGAGCTCCTTGACACCTCCAGACTTTCCACCCCTCAAGCAATCTCCTCTGGACTATGCCAGCCCTCTTTTTCACCTTTCAGATTAACCATAGGTGCACTCCAGTCCCATTGAATTGTTCCTTTGTGATATCCAGTCACTGACACTAACTACTCACAGGAATCCCAGACCCTCTGCCCCAAAAGTGCAGCGTACCCCAGTTGACCTCTTTTACCATAAATTATTCTCCCTGTAAACCACAAAGCACTTGTAAGCATTTATAATAAAACAAAAGCAGGTTTATTTAAGAAAGAGTAAAGATTTAAATAGAAATGAGAGAAAGCGATCAAATCAATAATTAAAACACAAAACAAAACTGTAAAACACAAACCAGGGTCTGCGATTACTTTATTAGATAAGAATGGCAACCATTAATAGGTCCCCTCAACCCAAATTTCATTTGGTTTCAAAAGAATTAGGATCCAAATGTTCTGAAAAACCACAACCCCCCAAAGGATTTCCTCAGCAAGTGGCAAAGTGCTTAATGTTACACGGAGGCAGTAACAGTTCCCATTCAGAAGCAGAGGCAATCCCTGTCTTGCAATTTTCTTTCTTTTTTTCTTTTTTTTAAATGTGGCCTCAATTATTTGCACTTGCCTCTGACGGTTTTTCTGTTGAAAGTCTTAATATTGCACAAGCCTAAACCATCAACTCTTGCAATGCATCACCGGCTAAATTGGGTGGGATAACAGTTTCCTCTTGCCTGAATTGGCCATCACCAAGAAATATTGTCCACTGGTGGCTAATTTTTACTCAAGTCCATAAAGCTTCCTTTCAGTATAAATACATTGTTCCTTAAGAATATCCACCCATACATCTCACCGTGATTATGAATCTTAACAAGTTCCAGGCATTCTCCAGCTCCTTGTGTGTTACTCTTTATGGATAAGTATCCTGTAAGGAATGTATTTGGTGTAGTAAGTTTGTCAGGTCTTAGGTGTGAGAGGTTTGCTGAGAACACATGATTCTTCGCTAAGAAGCCTCAGTGTCACACAGTGGTTCAAGATAGGAAACCTTCCTAACCTTGTTGAAGCCATAGGTAAAGATCTTGTTGAGTTCATTTCTCCTCTGAAGCTCCCCTTCCACGCAAGTATTCTCCACAGCTCCTGCAGTATCAGACTATGGGAAAGGTATTGTCTGCAACCCTCAGTGGGAAGGCTGTCGGATGTCTTGCCACAGGCTAACTGCATTGTGTCACTCCAGAAAGAGAAGTCACATAACATGGATGATGTCTCGGGCAGGATTATTAGCTCTTGGATTTCTCCTTCAGCTTGCCTAAATTTTAGGGGGAAGGAATTTGCTGCTCAGTAAGATTCTATTTGTACATTTGACAGTGACTGTTCAGATATGTCTCAAAGAAGCAAAGGCTGTTATTTTAGGACAAGAATTAGGGGCAGCCTGAACCAATGCCTTTGACTTCAGTAGTCTTTGAACTAGACACTTGGGCCACATCTATACTAGACCCAGAAGGTATGCAACTCCAGCTATGTAAATAACAAAGCTAGAGCCAACACATCTTAAGCCAAGCTTGGTGCCATCATCACAGTGGGAGATTCCTGGGAACAAATGCCCCTGTCAGCTTCCCTTCCTCTTCACAACTGTGAGGAGTACCAGTGTTGACCAGGGCACACTCAGGGTGTGTCTAAACTACATGGGTCTGTCGATGGAGCCATGTAGATTAGGTTGATCAGCAGAGGGAAATTAATTTAAATTTAAATGGCTGCCACGCTGAGCCGACAAACAGCTGACCAACTGTTTGTCAGTTCAGCGCGCTAGTCTGGACGTTCCTGCGCAGATCTGAAAGCCCTTTATCAACCTCCCTTTATGCCTCGTAGGATGAGGTTTACCGGGGAGGTCGATAAAGGGCTTTCATGTCGACAGGGGAGCGTCCAGACTGCCCCAATCTGCTGACAAACAGCTGATCGGCAGAGCGGGGCAGCCATTTAAATTTAAATGAAGCCGTGATTATTTAAATTGCAGCTTCATTTCCCTTTGCCAAACAAACAAATCTACATGGCTCTGTCGATGTACCCTCAGTGTTAAATTTAGTAGGTCTTTACTAGACCCACTAAATGTAATGCCAGAAAATTGATTTCCAGTGTGTAAGTATAGATGTGGCCTTAGTTACTTTCCTCCTGCGCTACCCAAGACATATCAAGAAAGAGTACATAGTGCGAAATGTTTTTCTTTTCTGCTTTTACAGCTCCATTTTGTATTTCCTCCCATAGTAATCAGCTACCTATTATAACAGCCATTATATGGGGGAATGCTTCTAAGAGCTGGGATAAACTCAACCAAATGCTGCTCCTTACATTAGAGGCTGAACTGACTGTTCTAAGGTTCATATTGCAGATATACTTCTTGGCTGCGTCTAGACTACATCTCTTTTTCGGAACACATTTCAAGAAGGATTGAAATAAGGGATAAGGGATCTTTTGGAAAAGGCTTTATTTTTCGAAAGATCAGCGTCTAGTCTGGCGCTTTTCTTCGACAAAGCTCCGTGCCGAAAAAAAGCCGCAGCCATTTTTATGCTAATGAAGCGCGGGATATTTAAATCCCCGCTTCATTAGCAATTGCGATACGTCTAATTTACATCCCTTTTCCGAAAAAGGGATGTAGTCTGGATGTAGCCCTTGTAAAGCAGCGAACAAAAAATAAATAAACTCCCAAAATCTGATGCTCAAAAGACAACTATTTTTTCTCTCTTTGTGTCTGTAGGCTTTAATATTGCACTGGTAAGTAATATCATACAAGTATATTACCACTGTAATTAATTAATATTCTGTAGACATATATTTCCAGTCCCTGAATTCACAGATGGATAATACTTCTCAAGGGCTCATCTAGACTATGTTGAAGTGCCGAAAGAGGACATGCAAATTCTTCCAATCTCACTTTTGAAATCAGAGCTTTCGAAAGTGAAAGTAGTCAGGAAGTAGTTTTTTTCGGCAACCCCGTCCCCTTTTCGAAAAGCCACTCTTCCTCAAAAAATGAGGTTTATGCAGCTTTTTGAAAAAGGGGGGAGCCAAAAAAATTGCATCCCAACTACTTTTGCTTTTGAAAGTGAGATCAGAAGAAGATATGCAAATTCCCACAATTTGTATATCCTATTTCGGTACTTCAGCATAGTCTAGATGCTCTATTATAGGACTATAATAGAGTTTAAAGAGAAGCTAGATAATTTCATGGAGGTTAGGTCCATAAAAGGCTAGTAGCCAGGGGATAAAATGGTGTCCTTGGCCTCTGTCAGAGGCTGGAGAGAGATGGCAGGAGACAAATCGCTTGATCATTGTCTTCGGTCCACCCTCTCTGGGGCACCTGGTGCTGGCCGGTAGACAGGATACTGGGCTAGAAGGACCTTTGGTCTGACCCAGTATGGCCATTCTTATGTTCTTATGAGCCCTTCCTGGTGTTTTGGTGATAAATGAAAACAATACTGAAAATAGTTTTAAGAAAGTAAGTGTTGCCATCAAGGAAAACTTTTGAACTAGTGCATAGTTTTCACAATTTCAGAAGATAACACTGGCTCACTGGGACTGAAAGCAAATTATGACCAATGAAAGCCAGGCCTGTCTCTCCTGAGTGGGCATTTCATTTAATGTAAGTAGTGGAAGAACACCTGCCAAAAATACAATCAGTGAAGAATTTCTCTCACACATATGTATGGTAGGAGGATGAAATGAGATTTGTTGTCAATGGGAATTAGCTGTCTGAAAAAATACCTGAGGTCTATCAAAGGCACAAATTCTGCAGTCCACATCATTTTCAATCTGTTGAAGGACTGATTAAGGTCCCTGTAAGATATTGCCCCTCATATATAAGACAAGCCTGTTCTTTATCAGCAGCTTCCCTGCCTAATAGCAGAGGTCCAACTCAAGTTTTGCAGGCTTTTGTTGTGCGAGTGCCATGTAGGGTACATAATACTTTTATCAGATCTTGAACTGTCCATGACAGAGCTTATGTTCTCCTTAGTAAAACTCAATTAATCCAATATGCATTATTAAAACAATGGCAAAACAATGCCTGTGAGTTCGGTGAATGCTACCCTGATGCCACAGTTACACAGGCATGATTAATAGCAATGTATTGTTACATGCTCCAGCAACTCCATCAGTAAATGGTTGGCAGATAAGTTAATATAGCCCCAAGGCTGAGACATCTTCCATTTTTAGAAAATGCTCATGAATATACTTTTTTCCAAAAAGCTTAGTGCCTTTTCAGGTGCAGCTCAGGCTCCATTTTATGAGCCCACCTCTCCACATTGCTGAAAAAGAGGTTCTTTTTATGGGTTGAATGAAATAGCTCAATGAATTTCTATGGTGGGAAGTATAAGATAATGGAGAGTCTCTGGGAAAAAAAGCACATGCAATTTTGTTCATCTTTATAATGCAACATATGGCATTACATCACCTTCAGCCTCCTCCAGTGGAGCAGCAAATATTAACCCTTAGGCAGCCATCATTTTTCCACTTTGCCAGCCAAATAAATGTGGTGTAAGGTAATAGCATTCTATGTTCCAGCCTGTTCAGCTGCCATTCTGCATGAATAAATCATTTAAAATACTGCACTGCAGTTGGAAAATCCCAGGTTAGAGACAGCCAGCCTCAGCACTCTGTTGCTTTTGTTAAGCAGGATTGGTGTCACCATAAAATTGCAGGGGCAAGCAATTCATGCTACCCATAGATGACAGAGGTCATAGCCCAAGCATGTTTTAGCTCTATGGACATTAAATGATGACCTCTGAAAAATCTAGGTAGCTGACTTCTATAAAGGGGCTCAGTCCATATTATTGGGAAATAAGTACCAAACTAATTCATTTTGCCATCACCTTCCATTTCCTAAGGAGATTTTTGCAGTAAACTGTTTAAGAGGAGGTGAGAAAAATTAAGACTCCAACTTTTTTTTTTCTTTTTAAGGTTTCTGAACTGCAGCTACTCATGCCTATGCTGCTCTGGGCATCAAATACTCTACAGAACCATACTTCACCATCATACCCTGACACATCCTTCAAGGCCGATGAAAACATTGAACAAGGTGATAGGCTGAAGAGATAACAAATGTGTGTTTTTTTTCTCTTAAAGTCAATGGATTCCTGTGGGGTGCATTGAATAGCAAAAATAAAAGCTTGCTTTCTGCAACTAATGGCTCCAATGTATTCAGTTCAAGTAGCAAACTCCCTTAGCCTTATTAAGGAGATTGACTACAGTAAAATCCTTAAGATGATAGAGCTAAAAGAACTTCTTGATGATTTTTGTGGGCACATGCCTGCATCAATATCTCCAATGGCATGTATATTTTATAGTGTGATGGCCTAGATAGCCCAGATTTGAGTATACTTTAGAGGCTGACCATTGTTTGGCAATATTCTTCCCACCGTGCACTAAAATCACTATTAAATTCGGCTTTGTTCTTAGTCCAAGTGATCCATCATTACTGGTTTTCTTACAGCACCTCATTACTTAGCAAGCCAAAATTGTCCCATCATGTTCCACTTATGTCTGACAGCTGCTCCAGTCTGACTGTTCGTTCCTTAGTTTGAGACTTGTTCGGGGGGAAATAATCTAATAGTGTGCTCAAGTATTTGATTTATATGGTTATTGTATGTTTCTACCGGGTGATCTGGCATTTTAAGGAATGCACCAGCCTTTTTATCATTGCCAACTTAAACAAAAAAAAATTAGTTTGATTTTATTATTCTAGTTCTAGGGAGGACATTTGTCCACATTACAAAATCCAGCACGTGATACAGAATAATAATTCTGTATGATTGGCAAACTCTGCTCAAGAGAAGCTCAGGACTGAGATAAAGGGCCATTCCAAGTTGGAACTGATGTGCACTGACAGTGCTGGTGGGAGGGAAAGCTTGTACTGCATTTGCTGTCAGCCCTGAATTTTTATGAGCATATTTGCACACATGAAAGTGGCAGGATAATTTACCTGTGATATCCTGGGAGTGCTTCACTCCCAGTGTCAACAATAAAAAATGTTACTAGAAGTTAGAGCTGCTAGTTTTTATTTTCAGCTTTTGTGTGTTATTGTTCTTCTTGAACATTCTACATAGTCACTGGATTGAAAAACTAAATGTTCAATCCACCTGAAATAATGGAGAGGGTTCGTTCTGAATCAGAACTAAAAAGTTCAGTGGTGAAATCCTAGACTCATTTGCCATTCAACAAATCACATCTTTCCACTTCGCAAAAAAGGACCCTTTTCATCTGTTTCCACCCTCAAGCCTCCGCCTGCTCTCCTTAGCTTAACTCAATTCTGTTATGTTCTTATTAGGGGAGTTTCAGATCTGATGCTTCCTTGGTGAGCTGCTGCCAGTTGCTCTATTCAAATCTTCCACATGCTAAGGCTTTCCCACTTCAAAGGTGCTCAAGAATTGATTGCTTCTATCCCTGTACAAAGTGAGACACAGAAATCCTAATCTGTACACACCTCCCTTGCATATTCCTTTCCATCTCCCATTATTTTCCTCTTGTTCTCTCTCCCCATCAGGTTTTCACCTGATACTGAACCCAGCTGACAACATAGCACCAGCACAATGAAATAAGCAAAACATTACTCTGCCTGAAAAAGACAAGTAGAGAGGGACATGACCAGACTGGTCAGAAAATGTCCCAACTCTATCTACTTCAAGCTTCAGGTCTCACCTGAGGCCAATAACAATTTCTCACTGAAAATACTGGAAGCTGAATGAGTACTAGAAGTGGTTTGATGTGTTAGGACCCTGATGGTATATCTAGACTACAAAGCTTTTCTGGGATACCAGAAGTATCCTGGAAAAGCTCTGCCACATCCAAGGAATGCATCTGCTTTTCTGAATTTTTTTTTTGGAAAAGCGGACATGTTTTTTCAGCATTTCTGTAAACCTTATTTCATGAGGAAGAAGAGATGTTCCAAAAGAGGGTTTGTTTTCCCACATTTGGCCCTGAGTAGAGGAGCCAAATTTCGGAAAAGCCTCTTTCAAAAGAAAAGCAGAAAAAGATACACAAATTGCAGCTTTTATGACTTTTCTTTGTAGTGTAGACACAGCCTGAGATGGACTTCAGTGGTGACAAGTAAATTATGTGTTATTTAGCCACATTTCTTTTTTTAAAGGGTATGGCTTTCACACATGCATTCATTTAAACTTTTCTTTGTTCCTAAACAGGGAAAACAATCTGGTTAAAAGAGCATACTCAGTTCTTTCAGATTATTGTTTCTTTAAGTGTCGACCATATCTGTTCATTGACTATGGACCACAAAACGAATGTTGCATGTGAGAGAGTCTATTTTTCTCCTAAACTTTTAGAGTTAGCAATGCTTGTATGAATCAAGTTTTGATTAAAAAAAGAAAAGAGAAGATTATTTAAACAATGGATAAAGATATGCAGATATTTGTCACATAGCATTAATATTCAGTCATCATCACTTTGATCTGTGGTGAGCACTATCATTATCATGAAGTAAGTATTCCCTGCAATGGAACTTTAAGGAATGTATTTATTGACTGTGCAATTTTATCACTGATTGCACAGTTTAATCCCTTTCTCTGAGTGCCAGGTCTCCATCCTCTTTATTATGTATGTTCAGACTCACTGTTGAAAGGTTTATGAATTGTTATTTATAAGTCTTCTCTGTCCTTTAAAACTGCTGAGGGCAGCATTATAAAGGATAAAGTGCCACTCTAGAAAGGACAAAATTGGACAGTAAGTAGAAAAATTCATTAGATAGCAATGTTTAACCCAAGAAATTGCCTATTTACCTGGGTAGACATCTAAACTAATAGTTAGAAAAAAAGTAATTTGTAAGAAAAAGAATGTTTTGCAGTTACAGATACAGTACAGGAAATGCTTAGGTAAAGAAGGGAAAACATTTTTTGGTGTTGAAAGATTCTACCATATATTGAATAATGGAGTAAGTGGTGAATAATGAAAAAAAAATCTCCGACCTCCTGTAAGTTCTGTTGAAAATGAACTGGATTTGAACTCTGCTGCTATGTGTTTTGGATAACTCAATTCATCCTGCCATATTCTATGAAAATGTATAATCTCAATGGTTTCCATACTAATAATGATTTTGGGAGATCTTCTAATAGAGTCAATGAAATATCATGAAGACATCACATGTGTTTCATAAAGGGCAGTAAATGAAAAAAAAAGCTACTGCAGGAAAAGAAAAGAAAAGAAAAGAAAAGAAAAGAAAAGAAAAGAAAAGAAAAGAAAAGAAGGGGAAGAGAATGATTGATGGTTTAGAAGAAATAAATTGAAGGACACCAAAAAAAATCAGGGGAGAAGGGGGAAAGATCAGAGAAAAAAGTGAAGAATATTTGAGAAAGAGGGAAGAATGAAGGAAGGATAAACTCAATGTGTGTTGCACAAGAAGAGGTAAAGGCACGCCATATAAATAAACTGCAATAGAAAAGAAATGGAAGTGAGTTACATACAGAATCTAAGGGTACATCTACACTAGCCCCCTAGTTCGAACTAGGGAGGCTGAGAGTGCCTGAAATTGCTAATGAAGCGCAGGATTTAAATATCCCACACTTGATTAGCATATTCCCAGCCGGTCGCCATTTTGGAAACTGACTAGCCCGAAGTAACTGTTCGCGCCTACACGCGGCAGAGAAGCGCGATTCCGAGATAAACCCCTTAGTTCGAATTAACAGTTAAACCTCATGGAATGGAATGAGGTTTAACTGTTAATTCGAACTAAGGGGTTTATCTCGGAATCGCGCTTCTCTGCCGCGTGTAGGCGCGAACAGTTACTTCGGGCTAGTCAGTTTCCAAAATGGCGACCGGCCGGGAATATGCTAATCAAGCGTGAGATATTTAAATCCTGCGCTTCATTAGCAATTTCAGTCACTCTCATTAGCCTCCCTAGTTCGAACTAGGGGGCTAGTGTAGACGTCCCCAAGAGAAAATGAGAAATAATTTATCAAAATGGAGAAAACAATTGGAGGGAGGGAGGAAAAAGAGAAGTGCCAAATGAGTTCAGGCTCATTGAGGACTGACAGTATTAAAAATTGATCCATAATAGAAAATAGTTGTACAGGTTGAACTTCTTTAGTCTGGCTCCCTCAGAACTTGACTAGTGCCGAACCAGAGAATTTGCCAAACCACAGGAGGTCAATATTGTCTAGCAGCATTACCAACACTTCCATTGCTTATTGGGCTCCTAGAATTAGAGCTAAATATATATATAAAAACATACAACATTGGCTAAGGTTCATATTTTTCCAAAACAAAACAGGGCAATAGTCTTAGTCCTTAATCTTTATGCATGCACATAGTCTCCTTGACTTCAGTGGGACTATCCAGGAAATTTACACATTTGCAACAAGTTTTGAGCGAAAGCATTCAGCACACTACAAGACAGCATCTATAACACTGGCCTGGGTTGAGGCTCAAGAAATGACAGTATGTAATAATAAGAGAAACTTCACAATGTGCATAATCTCTAAATTACATTTTAATCTTTAGTCAAAATATTAAAGACTAAACTGCTGTTGCTACGTTAAAACTATTGGGCTATGTCTACACTGGCATCCCTTCTGGAAAAGGGATGCTAATGTAGCACGTTGGAAAAGGCAAATCCACGGGGGATTTAAATATCCCCCGCGGCATTTGCATTAACATGGCTGCCGCTTTTTTCCGGCTTGGGGAAAAGCCGGAGAAAAGCGCCAGTCTAGACGTTATTCTCCGGAAAATAAAGCCTTTTCCGGAGGATTTCTTATTCCTACTTGAAAGGAATAAGAAATCCTCCAGAAAAGGCTTTATTTTCCGAAGAATAACGTCTAGACTGGAGCTTTTCTCCGGCTTTTCCCCAAGCCGGAAAAAAGCGGCAACCATGTTAATACAGATGCCGCGGGGGATATTTAAATCCCCCGTGGATTTGCCTATTCCAAAGTGCTACATTAGCATCCCTTTTCCAGAAGGGATGCCAGTGTAGACACAACCTGGGTGTTTAGATGAATATGAACTAAGACAATCATCATCCTTCCAGGGCAGTGAGTGAAGACAATGTTTGGCTATTGAGTTGAAACCTCCGGAGGATTTCTTATTCCTACTTGAAAGGAATAAGAAATCCTCCGGAAAAGGCTTTATTTTCCGGAGAATAACGTCTAGACTGGCGCTTTTCTCCGACTTTTCCCCAAGCCGGAAAAAAGCGGCAGCCATGTTAATGCAAATGCTGCGGGGGATATTTAAATCCCCCGCGGATTTGCCTATTCCAAAGTCTACATTAGCATCCGTTTTCCGGAAAGGGGTGCCAATGTAGACACAGCCTTGGTGTTCTAGAATAAAAGAAAACAATGTAGGGAATAAGTGTGCGCTGAGAAATGAATTAAAAGTCTTTTTCATCTAATTTTATGAAAATGTTACCCTTAATGTTAAGTATCTGCTACTGTTGAATTATTTCATCCATGTTACTAAAGTCTAATCTAGTTTTTAGAGTTTACATGGATGGTATTTCTGATTTGCTAGAGAAGTTGAATTGAATACTAAGTCTGCATCTGGTGCCGAGAAGTCTTCACACTATTATGTCATTTGGTCCAGTTATGGACTGAATCCGGAATTTCCTGTTTCATTAGCTTGCTACTTCAGGTGTAACTAATAGAACGGCAAGTAATAAATCACTCCCACTACAATATGTGTGGGTGTAATTGCCAGAGCTAGAAACATTTGATCTGCCTTTCCTCTTCATCATAGTGCACAAAAAATGGGAATAATCCTGTTTATATCTAGGAAAGTTATAATTTCAGTTATGTTTGGAGATAATTTATGGAAAATTTGCTTCTACTGAGTTTCAAAGCACATACATTAGGGGAAAAAATAAGAATTTTATTTTACACTCAATTCAGGCCTAGTTATATGCATTTTGATGTACAAGTACCTAGTGACATTAATACGGTGCATATGAATATTAAAACAATGCTGTAAAATATGGCAAAATATTAATTTAAGGCTTTCATGAAAGGTTATAATTTTTTCCAGATCATAAATCTGGAATATGTTTGTATTAAATCCAATGGCTGTATTTGTTCAATTTTAATAATTTATCTCCAGCTAGGCACAAACAGGTTGTTACCTGGAGTATATTTCATTCCACTATTATATTTAGCTTCAATACTAATAATAAAAGCTTTAAATGAAATGTGTTCCCGGTGATTATTTTTTGAGGATTTATAAATTGTGTGTCTCAATGTTTGTGAGCTGAATGACAATTCAAAATACAAGGACCGATCTGGGAATATTTCTCTAATCAGATAGCTTACCATTATGAGCACAGAGGTTTCCTTTCCACAGTCATGACAATTAATTAGTTCTGCTGTTGGACAGCAGTTGTATAACAGAAGACATGAAATACTCAGATTCCAGAACCATTTGTTCAGAATCAGTGTGAGAACTGGGAAATTAATTTATACTGGCAACATCCAAAATGGTTCATCTGGGAGCCAGCAATAGTGGTGAACATCATTGTTCCAAATAAATACCTGCTTGTTGAGCTTTACAAGCGATGGCACAGGAAGTAGACAGATGTTGGGCTTTCACTCATTTCTTTATAACTAGGATTATTTTTATAAGTTAAGACACCCACTTTTTATTACTCAGGCCTCAATTCAACTTTAAATACAGGTTGAACCTCTCTAATTTGCTCTTTGGTCCAACAAGATTTTAGTTAGTTGGATGTCCACTTGTCATGGGTGTGGCCAAGTTTTCCCCAGTCCTATAAGA